ACTTATATTTTTTATATTTTATATTTCATGTTTAATGCTGTTTGCACCAGGGATGGCATTATTGATAATAAGGTTGACTTGACTTGATTTTTTTACAGTTTTGAGTGGCTCTGTCTGTAATTAATCGCTCCTCTTGTGACTCCAAACCAAGCACAACACCATCTCCTCCAGCTCCACATACATTTACTACACACACATTTCCCTGACTGAATTTACACGTGTCAGAGATAGAGCAGCAGATTCTGTGTGTGTATGTGCGCTGTTACTTCCCTCAGGTTCTGGGATCATTAATAAGCTTCACCAGTATTTTCTTCCTTATATAATCAAACTGCTCATAGTGATTAAGGATCATGCCCAGACGAGGTTGTACACACTACTGAGTAAAATTATGAGTTGCCTTGATAAAATTCATGCAAGTTGGATCAGCCTGTGATTTCAATTTTTTTACTTTGATTTTTGTGTGGTTTAGAATCCAGCCATCAATTGGTTGAATGATTCTGGTTTCTTTTGACCATTTTTGCACCTTTTTGTTCTCAACAAATTATACAATGTACATCAGCTAGGATTTCCAACTTGAATAATTGGTTTATCCAGATCTGATGTGTGATTTAAAGGTACAGTGTGTAGAATTTTGTGATATCTAGAGTTGAAATTGCATGTTGCAACTGAATACCCCTCACCTCACCTCTTTCCAAACATGAAAAAGAACCTGTGGCAGCCTCCGTAGAGAGGACCCCCTCAATGGACCTTTAAGTGTTTCCTTACATTTTTTGAGCAGTGTATGGTTTACAGCTCATCACAGCACAGAGACAGCTTTAGCAAAAGTCACAAATGAACTTCTTATAGCTTCAGATAAAGGGCTTGTCTCTTTCAAAGTTTTGATAGATATTAGTGCAGCATGTGATACTATTGATCATCACATTTTACTACAGAGACTGGAACAGTTAATTGGCTTTATAGGAACCGCCCTATGATGGTTTCAATCTTATTTATCAAATTGTTTCCAACATGTGCAAATTAATGATGAGTCACCTGTGTCCACGTAAGTTACTCACAAGGTTCCTCAGAATTCTATGTTTGGCCCAATTTTATTTACTTATTCATGCTTCTGTTAGGACACATTATTAGGACACATTTTGTAAATTTTCCCTGCTACATGGACGATACCCAGTTATACTTATCTCAATCAAATTTATGAAAACAGAAGAAAGTATTGCATGTTTTTATTTAAACTCAGACAAAACAGAAGTTGCAATACTTGTCCTTAAACACCTCAGTGATGCATTAAAGGGCCCATATTTTACACATATTGGGATTTAATTTGAGGTATTGGTACCCCCCAAGATGATATATAAGTGGTTTAAAGTCGTAAAAACTACTGCAGTGTGTATTTCAATGTCCTCTCTTCTGCCTCTCTCTGGCACTGCAGGCAGCACAGGCTGCCTCATTAATTATTTATAAGCCCCTCCTCTGATTGACTGACTGTACTCTGAGTAACACATGACCAGGCCTATCACCGTTCTCATTCTAGCGCATTGACGAAATCTGCAGTAAACAAGAATGGCAAGAGTCACGTTATTATGTTTAGATGCAGCTGTAGAAGACCTGCCACACATTCACAGTTGGTTACAACAGGATGTTTCTGAACGGTTAGTTTCACCATGTCTCATGTTTGTTCAAGTTTTAGTAGGACAGTTGGCCAATGTAGGAGTAAGTCCCAAGTTTCAGTCCTGAGTTTTAGGTTGTTGTAGGTTGAGGGTCGGTGTTGAAATGAGCCTTGCCCCGGCACGTCAGATAAAATAACGTTATTAGGCTGCTAGCTCAGCAACATGTCTGCTTGGTGCCGTGTTCGGGGAGGAGGGGTGGTGGGTTTGGAGGCTGGACTGGTACCGGATGGGTGGTGCTGAGAGAAGAGTGCTGTTCCCATATGACATCACACGGATAGGAAGTAGGAAATGAGTCATTTCGATAACATTTTTCTTTGAATGGACTGTGTGAAAAAGTCTGCGGAGTGATGTTTTCACACTTTGAGGGTACCTACTGACCCCCTTTAAGTAATTAGGTTAGTAAAACCCCAGAAAATGTATTTTACACAATATTGGCCTTTTAATGATATAGCTACTCTGGATTGCATTTCCCTTGCTTCCAGGGAAATCATTAGGAATCTGGGAGTTATCTTTGAAATGGATTTGTCCTTTGATTCAAATTCAAGACATATCTTAAGGACTGCCTTTTTTCATCACATAACATTGCAAAAATTAGGCACGACCTTTTCTTCAAATTTTTCTTGTATTAACCTCATTACACTGGCTTCCTGTTAAATTTAGATTATAATTTAAAATTATCCTAGTCACCTAGAAAGACCTTAATGATATGACACCACAGCCACATCATGGATCGTGATGGTGGCTTGTGACGGTGCAATAATAAATTGTGGCAATAGAATCGTGTTCATGGATCATGATTGTGATGATGGATCGTGATGGTTGTTCGTCCATCCATCCACCCATCCCATTCTCTTGAATGCATTATCTCATGAATGCCTCATTGGAACTTCTCTAAATTTGTTTCAAATATTCACTTGGACTCAAAAATTAACTGATCTAGATCAAGGTCACGATGGCCTCACGAAACATTGTTATGCTTTTTGAATGTGATATCTTATTATCAGCTTGAGTGATGTATTTAAATTTGGTAAAAACATTCATTTGGACTCAAAGATGAACTGATTTAATATTGTTGGTTGAAGATCAAAAGGTCAAAGTCAGAGTGACCATACGTTTTAGTGAAGGTGATATATCAAGACTGCCCATGGGGAGTATTATTACATCTGGCACAATTCACTTGGACTTATGGGTGACCTGATGAGAAAATTTGTGATTTGTGAATATGGGCTATACAAATAAATTTGAATTGATTGATGGACTGATGGATGCATGGATAAATGGTTAGATGGAAGAATGGATCACACACACACACACACACACACACACACACACATAAGGACTTCAGTCAGACGTCGTGGCCTCTTCCATGCAGAGGTAAACATCCTGCTCTCTGGAGACCCTGCCACCAGCAAGTCCCTGCTGCTGCAGTAAGTCATCTGTACTTTCTGAAATGTTCCTCTTTATGCAACATTACAGAAGATGCACACTTAACATAAAGAGAAACAAATTCACCATCTGCACACACACCAATACCAGTGCATGCCTGTCCATCAGCAGGTTGTTCACTGTCTGTAACAAAGTGTGGACAGTGCAGACAACTCACGGCTGCGCAATGTCACACTCATTTCCTGAGGTTTTCTTCGAACACACACACATACACATGCATGCACAGACAGACAGACACACACGCACGCACAGAGGGAGTACAGATACACAGTACATCTGCCGCATGCTGTTGTGTATTTAGACCTAAGTTTTCATTATGGTTCTGCTCTGAAAAAGTTTTCAAATCTCTTCATACAGACAGAAAACATGTTAACTCACCCTGGCTCTGACTTTGGGTCTGCCTCACTTTTGTTGGAGATCCACCCCCACTGCTCTGTCGAGCTTCTTCTAACATGGAGCCGTCAATCTGGGATTGCTTGGGCCCGGTGCTCCCCCGTCCTGGAGGTCCAGCCCCTGAGCCTGGAGGTAGAGCTGGTCCAGAGGCCTTATCCAGCCTAGTGCTTTTCCTCTGCAGCCTGGCATTAGGCACTAGTTTGGAGGAGACTTTCTGTAAAAAAAGCTGATGTTTAGTGACGGTGTCCCAGGCGAGGGGTCCCAGCTTGGAGTTGCGCACCGAGACCATGGTGTTAGCCATTCTTAGCTCAGAGTCAGAAATGTGAAGGAGGGAAGGAAGAAAGGCAGTGAGGGAGCAGAGGGGAGGAGTGAGTAAAAGAGTGTGTGTTAAAACAGAGGGGGAGGAAAATAGAGAGAGAAAAGGAAAGAGAGGCAAGAGGTAAAGCTGGTGTGTGTACTGCAACCACCAGAGAGGTAAAGAAAAAGTTATTTTGCTATTGTGTTTTACATTCCCCCTGAGAATCCTGGCTCTGACCAAGACAATTTTTTTCTCTCTCTCTTGGCCTCAGCCATCCCCATCCCTACCCCCCTCTGTAAACACCAGCACACATGGAGTGAGTTTGGGGATAAGGCTCTGGTATCTGTCTCAGCCTTTTCAGAGGACAACTCATTGCTCAGCCCTTTGTTTATGAAAAAAACCCACTTTATTTTAATATAAAATCCCTGATGAGTTTTCATTCAAAAAACTGAGGGTGCCTATTTTCCTGCAGAGTTAAAAAGCTGAGGCCATGAATAACTGTAACACACCATGTACACATAACATCACATCTTGATGTGGTAGCTGGCTGCTCAGCTGGGCTGAACTGATGCTCTGTTTGCTAATATAGAACAATATAGGGTGTATTAAAGTACACGTGGAACTCTGAGCAGCCAAAAAACAAATGAAGTTAAAGAAGGTCATCAGAAAATCTACTCTAACCACCCAGGCAGCTTAACACATGCCACATAACATACTGACCCACAATTATATCATCAAGTCATCAATGATGAAATACACAGTCAGTGCATGATCAGAGTGCACAACTGATGGAGGTTGAGGACAGGAAACAATCTCTTTTGGATTTAAGTTTGTGAAGTTTTGCCCTTGTTTGACTTGTATCACAGGGGAAACAAACCCACAGCACATCCAAACGCACATCACATATGACCAGCATGACACTAAACAGGATCCATAAAGTCAACAGAGGTTGTATACACAATCATGGAATACATGGAAAAGATATGCTTGCATGTCATTTATTTGTTAATGTTATACTATATCATTTAAACAATTCAGTGACAGATTGTTTGATGATTAAGCTACTGTAGTTAGAGTCCGCAAATAGAACCTTGGCCAGGTCCCTGTGAGACCTGTGACTTTTAAGTGTAGACTGATGCTGAAAAAACACTCATATTGAAAAGGTTACTGTATATGTAGCAGAGCTGACCTGCGACACACCCTGTGCTCAGACAAACCCCAAGGCAGCCTATTATAGAGAATGCTGGGGCAGGATTTAAACCTGTCACTGGCTCAGTGGATCTTTAAAAACCACATACCAGAGACAGTGCACACAGTGTTCATGTACCACTCCCTCAGTTAAAACACATTGCACATTTTAACCACTTACAAAGCAGGACGAAAAACATAATATACCACAACAACACAACTTGGGATAATCCGATTCATCAGATAATCATTGCGTCCCTAGCCATTGGATACCTCTAGCTACCTAACTATACCAACCAGCCTAAACCTACCTACCTCTAACCTGTTAATGCAGTTATGCAGTACACCCTGCCTTAGTACAAACTGAACTCATGTTAAAAATATCATAAACTATGTTGCATAACTTGCATCTAAAACCAGAACTGTTTTTGATTTCTCGAGGGCATTTGAAATAAAGATAGCATTTTAATACTGTATGTCAGACGTCACTGCGCACATAAGGCAGAGCGGCTCACTTAAAATAAAACTGAATTTGCTCACATGCTCAATATGCTCACCCTGCTTTGAGTCCTTGGTTTCTCCACAGCTGCCTCTGTCATTATGACCACCTTTGTAGGGTCATCCACAGACTCCTCACCAGCATCTTCACTTAGATGTGTCTCCACACACTCAGCTTTTCCCTGTTGATCAGGCACTTCCTGGACAATCTTCCTGGAAATGTCCACAGGTCCTTCCTCAGACACCTCAGACCCAAGAGAGCTGAACGAAGCAGAGAACTTTTGACCAACAGCTCCGATCTTCTTTTCTGGCTCAGCAGAGTCACTGGCAGCTGTCTTTAGGTGGGTTCTGAGGTTACTGCTCTTTCCGTTGACGGGTTTCAGCACTTTAAACACTTTAACTGGATCTGCAGATGACCTTTGACTTTTACCTTCATCCCCTGTCTGTGGTTCCTCCCTTCTGGGAACAGCTTTCCTTCCATTAGCTGGAGCTGATTTTTTCTGCTGAGTAGAAGAGAGATATCAAATGTTAGGTCCATTGTTAGGTCTACAAATCCTGATACATTTTCCGGTAACACTACACAACCTGGCTGGGTGTTTTAGGTGGGGATGGGATGGGCCATGACCTGACTTTAGCCTTGACAGTTTTTAGTTTGGAAACTCTCTTTGCCTCCACACTGGTTGGTTTGATGACTGTGGAGGCAGTGGTCCAAGGAGCAGGGGCTCTGGCAGCCTGACTGGTTTTGGAGCCCAATGTACATCTTTCAGTGTATTCAGGAGATTTGTCTTCTTTAGAATCATGTGTAGGATTGGTAGACAGATAAGATGATGATATCTGAATGTCTTTATTATGGTCCTCAGTAATAGGAGGTTTTGTTTGGCTGTCCATTGGTATTTCAATAGGGCAGGTAGCCTCAGGCTCTTCTAACACCAGTTCTAGCCTCTTACCATCATCTATATCCACAGCCACGGTTACCTCTGTCTGGAGCTCAGTCACTGGAGCAGAGCCACCTGGGATCATGAAGTCAATGCTGAGCTGACTCGTAAAGCTAGTGAGGGCCTCACTGTTCCTCTGTAAACAGGTGTCAGAACTCAAAGACAGAAACCAAGCCTCCTCTTCATCATCTTCATCATCATCATCATCATCAGGGACTTCAGTTGCATCTGAATCTAGAGTTGAGCAGTCATGCCTTATTTTAGTGCCACTACTGAGGTCATCATTATCACCACAACTAAAGTTGTTTGTTGTAAGCGACAGGGCCAGAGTCAGTTTGTCATTATTGTTCCAGGTGTCTTGACAGTACTCGCCACTGTTGGCGTCCAGGTAAACAGACACAGAGTTGTCATTTGATTCTTTTAGTACTGTTTTTTCCTTTCCCACTGAGATGTCATTATTATCGTTGACTCCACTATTTTCTTTTGGCACCAATTTTGAAATTACGTCTGTAGTTTTGTCATTTGGTGTCATCTTTGTCATTGTCAGGATGACCTCAAACATGTCATAGTCCATGATACTGTCATTCCGGCCTCCACTGAGGCTGCTCAGACTCTGCACAGTCCCAGGAGAGATCTCCTCCAGAAAGGAGGAGGATGAGGAGGAGGAGGGGGAAACAGAGAAAGCGTCCCTCTTTTGGTCTCCTGCACTGTGAAGAGGGAGCCTCATGCTGGATCCAACTTTCCCCCTGACAGGCAAGCTCTCACTGGACTCTGAAACACTCATGTCTTGGCCAGGAAGGCAGAGGACCAATTAGTTGTGAAAGAACAAAAGATAGATCTTTTTCCAGCTTAAATCCTCTTTTTAATAATGCCTGATATAATATCCTCTTCATTCAGCATAAAACCTTGTATTTCCACCCATGTGTTCTGATAATATCTTTAGTATGTCATGGAGTTGCAGTGGCACTAATATGCTGCATTACCTCCAAAAGTCATCATGTGCTAGTTCAGTGCAGAACTAATTTAGAACAATGTCCTTTTAAGAGCTCAGAGACTGATCTTCACATCTTATCTCTAAAGGAGAATTCACATTTCCAGGACTGTTGCTGAAAACATCTGAAAAAGAAAAGGGAGAAAATAAATGAAAAGTTGAACTAAAACATTGAAATCAGTGGAATTACTTTTAAGTCTAGACAATGAGCCTGTTTCCTTTCAATAGTGGTAAAAAACAATACTGACGGAAATGGTCACATTGAACAAGCAGCTGAAAACCTGAAAAGCATCAGACTATGACAGTATATGTGAAGAATGGCTGCCCCTTTTTTACACATATACTGTAAATTGTTGATAGATATTTGGGTACACCTGTAACTGATGAAAACTTAATAATTGTTTTACTAATTATTTCATGTTCATGTTAATCTTATTTTACCATGCTGAGGCCACACTCTGTTTTCTGTTTAAGCAGCCCAGTGTTTGCACACTATTGGTAAATGGTCTGTATTTATGTAGCACTTTTCTAGACTTGATGACTACTCGAAGCATTTTACACAAGCTTTTGCCATTCACCAATTCACACAAACATTCATACAAACATGCTGCCCTCTGCAGGCTGTATTCATTTCTGATCATGGCAACAAGTATGAACAATTACAAGCTCTTGGAATATTTTCTGATGAACATGCATGTTAATGGAGTGTTAGGACCACTCACAGTAAGTGACACTCTTTTTGGAGGTGAAAGGTCATTGAATGTTTTGTTTTTGTTGCTGTTTGTCTGTCTGTTAGCAGGATTACGCAAAAATTACTCATTATAGAAATTGGGTGGGAGGTTGAAGTATGGGCCAAAGAAGAATCCCTTTGATTTTGGTAGATCTGGACAAAGGGGTGGATTCAGGACTTGTTATAATTTTCGTTAACACTGTGAGGCATTTTTTGACAGTATCACACATTTATCAGGTAGTAATGAAAATATCTTAATTAAAAAAAAAATATCAGACATATTAAGGGAACTGATATCTATGAGTATGTGAATAATTTGTTGCAACTTTGAATTTCATTTTACGGTTGGTAATCTACAGCCCATACCATGTTCATTTGAAACCTATTGTAACACAGCAAACTCAAACTCCACTATGTGTGTGTGTATATGTGGGTCAGAGACAAAAAGACATGAGAGGAGCATCTATATATAGCCGATCAGATCCAGGACACTGGTCCGTCTCCACTTTCCAGTAATGACAGAAGTCCCTGGAGAGTCAAGGTAGACACACACAGCAGACACGTAAGCTGCTTTCAGAAATGCACTGAACTTTGGACATCCTCTTCATTTTTTCTGGAAGGAGGTCTATGTGTGCATGCAAATGTCCATATAATATAATAATAATAATAACTTTAATTGTATACTACTCATCTAAACAAGGTTACAAAGTTCTTCACACAAAAAATCAAAACCAAAATCCTGGCAAAATGAGGAAGGAATTATAATAAAATGTATTCAGTTCAGTTGAATTTTAATACAACTCTCCCTGCTGAAAGACATTTGCACTCCATCCATATCAATTTTCCAACCTAAAATTGTGGTTCCCTCTACAATTACAGCACTTTGGTTTCACTCCTTCTCCACACCTTACATATTTATGTTCTCCACCACTCTTTGCGCATCCTCTTTTTCTTGTGCACACTTTGGCCACATGCCCACATTCCTGACAGCTTAAGCACCTCATTGGCTTTGGTATTTACTCTGTCTCTCTGTATCTTAGAAATCCATAATATAATTCCGATCAAACTCCACCAGGAATGTTTCCTTTTTCTATATTCCTCTAGTCATTCTTTTCAAACTCCTCACTGAACTATTCCTCACCCTCAGGTTCTCCACAAGTTCCTTCATATTAACACTGTGGGGAACCCTGGAAATCATCCCCTTCAACCACTGGCCCTATGTGCCCCGACTCTTACAACCCTGAAAAGTTTTACTTTTCCAACTCAAGTCATCTTTATTGCCTTCTCCACCTGTGCCTGCAATTTTAAATCAAATCAGTAAGTTTTCATCTCCTAAAACTCTTGCATGGTTTACTTACTCCACCCTCCCCCTCAAATCTTACCATAATATTAAGCAGTCCTTCCTTCTGCTCCTTCTCTTGGCTGTCTCTTCCCTTGCTATCTGACCGACCTTCACTAGAGCCTTTTTTGTTCCTCACTCTCCTGGCTTTTTCCCTCTTACCAGCTCTTCCCACTCACTTTCCCTCCTCTTATCTTCCTCACTCTGTGATGTTTTTGTCATTATCAGATTCTATCCCTGCCATCCTGTCAGAGTTTGCTAGGAACAGTGTACGAATACCATCACGGACCTATAAAGGTCATCAGTCGATATTCCCACAGGCTTTTCCCCAAAAAAGTCACTCCTGCTGTTCATCAGCCCGATGCCCAGAGGCATAAAATAGACAGTGCCTTCCATCTGGCATTCCCTTTGCCACTGATTGCACCCAAACAAGATTTAAGTTATCACACAGTAAGACTGAACAACAAATGTAGGCAGACAATGCCACATTAGAGTCAGGCATAGTGAACATATCACTGTCTTTGACATAAGGCCTCTAGTACTAAACTGACTTCCTCTGGCTTTTGCCCCTGAACTGCCCCAACCAATCATCCTCATACATTCCTGTCATTCCAATCATTTCCGGCATTATGTTTGTGTGTGATCTAGTGCGTGCGTGCGTGTGCATTGTGATTTAAAAGACACCTGTTTCCTGGTATATTCTATCTACATCTAATCTGTGGGAGTTGACCCAGCCAATGCAAATTGTATTAAGACACTCGTATGGGACAACAAGTCCAGTGATTTAACCAATGCATATTGTTTTACATACTGCAATATGTCAGCAGATATGCAGCACAAAGAAATCTGATCATGCACAATGAAAAGATTGATACAGTATGGTAAATATTCTATAGATGACCTTTTAGAACACTTAGACATTGACTTTGGCCATTAGTGTGAGAGAGATGTTGATTCAGTGTGTTTAGACTGTATTTAGTGAACATTTCAGCAGACTGCCTGTTACATTTCACTTGTTTCTGTGTACTGTGAAAACATTTGGGTGGCTGTGGCTGAAGGGTAGAGCAGTCGTCCTCCAACCAGAAGGCTGGAAGTTAAATCCCCAGTCTTCCCATCTGCATGCCAGTGTCCTTGGGCAAGATGCTGAACCCCGAACTGCCCCAAAGAACAACAAAAAGTGCTACAAATAGATGCACTGTATGTATGAATGTGTGTGTGAATGGGTGAAAGGCAAACTTTATTGTAAAGCGCTTTGAGTGGTCATCAAGACTAGAAAAGCGTTATATAAATACAACCATTTACTATTTACATTACAGAGAGCACAAATGAAAACTTTATGCAGTATTGCTAACATTCACAATCACTATTAGATATTAAGAAGAGATCAAAGGTCCCTGAAAAACATGTCCTTCAAGCTGTCACATGCTATGCAATCACCCCCTGCATTTGCCAGATACTTCACACCTGAAGAAACCCAAAACAATGATTATTATTGTTTTATTACATTGTTATTATTATTATATATTTTTTTAATTTCTATTTTTTGTATTATTAAATAATTTTGAGTTCACACAATTGACACTTCTCTACTTATCTATGTATGGCAGCTAACATCAAACACAGATTTCCCTCTTGCAGGGTGCAGCAAACAGTGAATGTTTTGTAACAGCAGATGTCAATGTTTAACAGGTAGAAAGCTAAAGAGGGCCACAGTGCACTTTGAAATGTTAATATTTAAATGTTGTGCAGCAGGACACTGTTGACTGTACAACAGTCATGTTGTCAGTCATTTCCAAGTAGGATGTTGTTTCTTTAGTCTTCTTTGGTTCTTCTTTTTCTTTCTTTTCTTCCCACATAGAGAAATTGAGTATTTTACTTCAGAGTGCTACAATACACCAACAATGTTCAAAATTACACCAGTCAGAGAGGCACCGTTTGGGTCCAAATCAAGTTCATTTAAGAAATTCTATGCTCACACTCAGCATGGACTGTCAGTGTCAAAGCACTGACACAGCAATTCAACTTAAGTCTCTCCATACATCGCACTTGCAACCTTGAGCCAGTACTGTGCGTTAATCATCTTCGTCTCCTCAATGAACGTGTTGTATGAAGTTTAGCTGCACACTACTTATTGAAATTTACTGGATCTGTGCAAATAGGTACTGGAGCGCAGCCGATCAAAAAATTAGACTAGAATGGGTTCTGGCACTCACCTAAGTATTTTCCATCATTGAAATACAGGAGCAGATCTGCCCATATATGGTCAGAAATGTTCATACAGAGTCAGAGCTCTACAGTGGCTACACTGTATAAGTGGCAACTTGTAAAGTTTCCAATAATCATTAAAATCTTGAAAACAGTTCCTATGAGGCCTCAAGTCAGACCCTGTGTGGCCTGTTGGATGTATTTCTGCTCTTCAAACCACTGTATGATCCTGTTTATACAGACTGAGCCTCTTCTGGGAACAGTGACACCCCACCATCAGACACTGAACTTCATTAAGAGCAGGTTATGTCATTAATCCGTCAGTCTTTTCAATCACTCTCACATGGGACCTGAACCAATTTATAGATGTTAGATGTGCAAAGCTTTTGGTTACTTTAAATAAAAATGCTGGGATGACTTTCACATTAAATATCCTTAATCAAAAACACAAATCCTGCGACATTCAGGTTCGACGATACATACATTATGAGAGCATTTAGTTACATATGCGATCATCTCAACAGAGCATCTGGAAATAATCGCACCCACTTGCTTCAAAGATAACAGGGGAAGAACTATGTCACCCAGTTTATGTGTTCAGTTTGGCCACAGTGCCATCATCCCGATCTAACCTCTTGTTCCCTCAACCAGCATCCAAGCTACTTTTATGTGGATGTCTGCTGGTGGAGATAGATGTACATTTTCTATTGACATGACAAGCTCTACTCTGCCTTGGACTGACTTATTCTACTCCTGCCTAAACCTAATTGGTTCGGTCCTAACCAATCCAATCAACAAAGCCAACAATCATTAGCCAATCACAGGCAGAGGAGGGTGGGTTATATCAACTTTATGGTAGGATTTGTAAATTTGCATCTTACTACTGTAGCAGTGATCGCTAGCTTAAGACAAAAACATAATAAAGTAAAAAGCGTCAATCATCGACCAGCACCTTATTACTTTTATTAAGATGTATTTTGCCTCAAGGCCAGAAACTGCAACCGACAGCACCTGCTTGCTCATGCTAGCAAGGGGGGATATTGAAGCCCATTCATCTGAATCCAGATTTTATGGATTAACTGCTGATGGAACAACTAATATTACTACTCATACACTACAGAGCAGTCTTCATCCAACTTGCAATTTGTTGACAGCAGCCATATGCCTCATTGTATATTTTCAGGACCTTGAACTTTGTTGAGTGTTTATTTTATAATTAGAGAATCAGCAAAGTGAAATTTGCTTTACCAATTACTTAGGCTGCAACAAGGTTGCCTATGCCTGACAAGGTTGTGAGTCTGCGCCACAGTCACCAAACACATCTGTTTCTCTTTGAGCAACACTGGATATGCTAAGAGATCACAGAAGTGTAAGAGGGGAGAGCAAAAAAAAAGATCAAAGGACTATACAGACAGCCCCTAAAAGAGATAACATTTTTCAGGCTTCTCCACAGCCTAGCCTTAATGTGTGAATTTTTGATCCAACTGTTGCAAAATATACTGCAGAGTCAGTTGGAATAGACCTTTAAGATGGCTCTAAGCAGACACAGGGAAAGGCAGGCATGTGATCCGAAAGTTCAGTAAAAGGAATCACTGGGGGTTCGGGCTGGAACAGAGGACCCAAGCAAAAGAGTCGACACAGGGATCAGGTGAGTAGTGTGCGGAGCACAGCTTGATGCGGGAATTCACACTGCTGGAGATAGCAGGCAGGTGATCAGTGAAAGTCACACAGATGTGTCTGTGACCTTTAACACACACAAGTGCAGGTTGAAGGGTAGAAACACTTACAGGGGAGTGTCAACAAGTGAAAACACACAGGCAGACAGAAACCAGAATTACCGAAGCAGATCTTGTTTTCAGCGACAGAAGGCTGAGTTGTTTTTAGTGGTTTAAGCGAGGCAGGTATAGGCAGGTTCAGCAATGGGTGATCATTCCGAGAAGAAACGCAGGAGAGTCTTGCATGGCAAAGAACAATCTGGCAGTGTGAGTGTGTGTGTGTGACTGGGGCTTAAATAGTGGCTTTATTACTGATGAGGAGCAGGTGTGCGAAGCAGGTGAAATTAGTTGGACTGATGAGATGTGTGACAGACAGGCTTAGTGAAGGCAGGGTGAGTGAACTGAATGATGAAAGGAGCTGAATTGTGACACTAGCACTGCTTTAGCCCTGTGAGTCAGTTGCCAAGTGTGCTCACAAAATACATAGCCAAACACTGGGATGATGCAGCTGTGGATGAGATGGTCCACCAGGTTGAAACCTGTGCCTTGTAAACAGGCCTGAAAATGCCCAACACTGCTTCAATTGTGAGCAGAATCCCACTTTGCCAAACCATGGAGTCAGAGTCAGTGGTGCAGGATGCAGTAACAGTGATTTTGTGATGAGAGTCTTAATTTCCACAACCCCTGAGCATAAGGTCACATTTGGACTGTTATAACTACTGGAGCACCTGGCTTGCAACTCAAGGTGTATTTGGTTTGTTATAAGCTCCCACCCAGTATATTAATGTTCAACTGCCATTACCTGATAATCACCACACATAACTTTGCATATTTGGATATGTTCTTGTGTGCTGTGTGCAATAAGCTTTTGGACCTGTCTATTAGAATTTTATTAGCCGCTGCTGAGCCGCTGCTGAGCCGCTGCTGAGCAGTTAAGATTCAAGGTCTTTATATTGTCATCATACTCAGGTACAATGAAACTGTAAGAGGCCCCTCTCTCCAAGTTATATCTATATACAGGTGTAATAACCTCACACTGATATTTTGTTAAAAAAAATTGTGCATATTAGGATGTGCTCTTGTGTGCTGTGTGTATTGCAGCATCATGGTATTGTTATGAGCTATTATTATTCAATAGCATTTGTTTTACTGAGTTTCTGTTGGACATTGCTACTGTTACAGGTCCTGCTTGTTGGTATTTGCTGTGTTATTGGCATTATTGAAGGTTTATGTTGCATTTGTATGGAGAGACACCTGAAAGAAGCTCTGACACACGCAAACATGCTCCTCCCACTTCAGAACCCCCAACTTGAGACCTCTACTCATGGCCAAACATATACAGGAATTTGATGAAGAAGAGACACTTCCAAAATAAGCATTTACTACAAGATAATAGTTGTAATAACTAAACTATTTACTGTACAGAAGAAATAATGTATGTTCCAGAATGCACATTCATGAATGTGCTGATATGGTATAAAACTAGTGCCATAGATAAAACTTACTTGTCTGTTTCCCTGTTTCCTTCTTTCTGGAATGCACTGCTGCAAAACATGTCCAGCAAAAAAAAGCCTGTTCAGCTCGCATGAACTCCTCACTTCAAGCAGACATACACTCAGCTGTCTGTCCTAACACACACAATCCTCCTCACACACACATGCACAGATACACATACACCCCTAGCTGCACTGCATTACACATTCATGCCTCTTATCTTATTCCATCACTGCTGGGTTTAAGTGTGTGTGAGCACACAGGCAAGGACAGACTGTGCATGCAGTGTCGGTGGCTGAGAGGAGGGAGGAGACAGGAGAGGGAGGGAGAGAAAAAGGAGGGATACACCTCCCTTTTTGGTTCTGCTGTTCAGTGCAGTCATTATAAACTGTTGTTCCTGACTGAGGGAAAAGACATTCCTCAATGGAAACACACACATACATTTTCCTTTACACTTCCTCTGTGAGTGTGTGAGCAATTCCCACACGTGACGTTGAGGAAGGTGTGTTGCGTGTGTGTTTGTGCATGTGTGTGTGTGCACACATGCACACTGAGGCCAGGTAATCTTATTCATACCAGGGTCACCCTCCACCTCCAAAAAAGTAGGAGTAGCAGGAGTTAGCTCCTGCTACTCCTAACTAACTGGATTGGCTATTGCTAAGCAGTGCAAGTCCTCCTCCCTATTATTGGCTGCAATAGGCTAGGGGGAACCAGAGAGGGAGGTTTTCGACTAAAAAAGAAAGGGGCAAAGAGACCAGTGTAATCTGATCATAAAGCGGAAGAGAGGAATCGAAGCCGAGGGAGGCAATGGTGAACAAATGAAAAAAACGATCTGTAGCTGGGTGGGAAAATATGTCTATTCTTATTAACACCATTAGAGGGCACTGTCTGAATTTGATTCACTCCTGTAATTGATGAGGAAACAGGAATGTTTATGCTGAGGAAACCAGAAGATAAGAAGCTATCTTGCTCCCGTAATGTACACGCTAACTTTTTCCTGTGAATTTAAACTGCTTCTGATTCTAAATATCTGGTAAAACTTGACTGTTGGCATGACATATCAAACGGTAGACATTTAAAAGTTACATATGCTTTCAGTGCATGAGATGTGTGTGCCTATATTTGTGAGACGATAACAGATAGGAGAACAGTGTGGTCTGGAAGAGTGCTGTGTCCTGCCAACAATGTTTGTGCTCTGGTTTGGAGACACAAGTTTGTATGTATTGAAATTATACACATTCAATGTAAAACGTATAGGGCCTATGAATTTGAAGTGTGAATTGTGAACTTATGGCTCTTTTTGTCATAGGATGAGCCACCATAGCTATTAAGGTACTCCTTCAAAGCCTGGCATTTATTTTTAGAAAACTGTATTTTTTGCAACATTGTTGTGCACTGTATTTAGTTACCAGTGTAACGTAACTTCTTTTCACAGTTTCCTGTAGTGGGAGTATATTATGCAATGTAAAGATTTTACACATTTGAAATCATTATTCAGTTACATCACTAACCTGAAGCAAGCTCATGGGACATTTGGTAATAAATTGTACATTTCTTGAATATCAAAGAGCTTGATTGGGTTCATCAGATGTTTGTTAATCCAAGTCCTTTTTCTATTTAGTGTTAAGCAAGTGATTTACTGAAATGCTTACACCATTAAGCTGAAGTAATATCAAAGACTGTCTACATAAACTTTTGCAAAATTTTGTTTTGTTTTGTGCACATCCATAATCTATGTAAATGTTATAGTGTGTTTTAAATCATGCAGTGTTGGATGAGTGGGAAATATCTGAGGTTCCTGCAGAGGTTTAGATGCATTAGAAGGGCTGGTTAATTTTATATCAGTACATTTGTCAAAATCTCTCAAAATTAATGCAGGTGTCTTGATGTAAAAGGTTTTTTGCTCCCTCTGTATCTCTTTGACTTTCTTTGATTTTAAATAAAGATGAATAGCAATTAATACATGAGAACAGAACCAGATATGATAAGATATGATTTGTTTAAAAAGCTTTAATGTAGTTGTAATTGACAAAGGTGTCGGTGTAGGATTCCAATATATTATATATAATAGCATACATTCAAAAGTAAAGCTAAGTGGGCTGATTTTTTCTAAATATTGCATTGTATCACACATTTACAGACAGGTCTGTCTGTCTCTTGGGTTTCCTAGCCTGTTTTCTTTTGCAGGTTGTAACATTCAGCCCTCACGCCACCTTTTTTTACTCACATTGTAACCATCAACAGACAAAAATGCAAACAACAAGGAAGTGAAGGGACTGTCAATGAGAGTGTTAAAATGTTACTGTTAATAATAACAACTTGCAGCTAGACTATCTATGAGAAGATAGATATATCTGGTATAAACATGAAGACACTGGCCTGAGATGACTGATTTTAACTAGCCAATATTAGCGAGCTAATCTTGAGTACTGTACAATTTAACACGATAACTCTGTAGGATTAGTGTTGGGTTGGTTTTCAAAAAGACTTAATGTGTCAACACTGGCTGGGTATGGGAAGATGCTAACATAGCTAATGTTAAGACATAGTACATCAAAACTTTATTGAAAGAAGGATCTGATGATTGTTGTGCTATTTAAAGTCTCATTTGATTATAGAGCATGTTGCTGGTTTATTGTATATTTTTGAATACTTCAAATAGGGAGGTGGACTCACAGACAAGATTTTGCATAGGGCCCCCCAAAAAAGATATAAACAGCCCAGCAGTGATGGACTTCTGAACACTGTTCTGGTGGGTGTCATTGAATTGGACATTGAAACAACATGCAGTATTTAATGATGGGAATGGCACGCCTGCTAATGATATGGTTACTAGCGGTTTACGAATATGCTTCTGCTAATAAAACTTGAATTTTATTTTGAAAGGTATAACCGGAAGTTGGGTGTTTTATTATGGTTGACGTGACAGTCGTGCAGTACACAGCTGTACCGAGGCAGAGGCAGCGGGATCCGGTCACCATCAGATGTGCGAGGTGGCAATTTATATTCTAGTCTGGTAACCGAACAGACCAATAGGGACATCGTTGACATTATTCCATGGCAAAGCGAAGGAAACACAGCTCGTTTGGTGACGTGAAACGAGGAATGTAAGCACTGACGGTTAAAACAGCAAAACGCGACTGACTCCGATCGCACTACTGCTTTTCCATCTCCACCATTTTGGTTGTCAGTGATGGAGCACATCCGGACGCCCAAGGTACCAACACTTATCTCAGGACCAATGACTTTCTGTCGCTTGTCTTTTATCTTCGCTACTTCTGCTGGGCTTCTCCTCCATCTGCCTCTGTTACATACGATGTATCAGTGTCTATGAGGGGTCACCCCCGAAATTGACGTCTGTCTGTGAATGGGACAACCTGCAGGAAGACGGTGTTTGATCCCTCTGAAATGAGACATTATAATAAAAACACATTGTGTATTGATACATTCTTCAGACACATATAACAGATTAACTAATAGTTACTCACCGTGTCCACGGAACGACAAATCTCTTCCACTTTATCCCTCACGTAGCCATGAACGCACCTGGTGCATGTGGCTTTAAGTTCATATATTCCCCCATTTATTCCCTCTGCCATAGACGCAGGATTTTTACGTTTTTAATTGTTCTTTAATTCATATATTTAATATTTAATTAATATAAATATTCTCGATATATTCTATCATGACACATCTGTCCAATCATGATGTTGCATTGTCCTGCTAACCACCATCTTCCTCCGATGTGCCAGCCAGGCAAAGGCCTCACACTCCTCCTCACCACACCATCATAGTCTGGCTTTGAACAGGATAATCATTAGCTAATATAGTTTGATAATGACATTACAGTAACATCATCCAATAGGTCATACATGACCGCAGTTGACAGGGGCACGATGGTTTGTTGTTACATACCAGAAGATACAAGCAGACACTCCAAACTAGAGAACTTATGTGTACTTTAACCAAACTGTCATTTAGTAACCTGTTACCAGTAGAGTTATGCCAGGAGAGACTTTGAGCTGTTATCACAATATGATCATCTTTTTCAGACATGCCACACATTTTAAATCTGTGTCTCATTCCATCCCTGGCACTAAGCCCATGTGTATGTGTGTTGCTCCGTTAGGTGGAGAATGTGCATCTCATGGACCGACCGTCAGGCCAGAGAAAGGCCAGCGTCGGGACTCTTTACCTTTCTGCCACACACACCATCTTTGTAGAGAACAACCCTGAGACACGCAAAGAGACCTGGGTAAGCTGGAAACAAGGCACTGCACCTCTGGACCACAATAACTACCTTTAACTTTTGTTTACCACTGTAATAATATGATAGATGAGTATGTTTTTTTCATGTCATCATGTCACTGCCTGGTTGAAATATCTATTGTAGCACAGGGAAGTATGGAATCTCACTCATTTGATGTCTTACACTACATAGATTGTCATACTGTATTCAGTAACCTGCATTTGATTATGCCTGTATGTATGCAATCACCAAGAACAAAATGACTTGCATATTTGGAGATAAAGTGGTGAATCATGTTATAAAGAACAGAAAAAAATACTTGTGCAGTCGCTCCCACAGCAACTGTAGTATATGTAAAAACAGATTTAGTGTAGATATAACTATATACCCTTGTTAGGCCCTCTGCAGAGATTTCTGCAGTTTTATATGTTTATTGCAAACTAAGCTGTGCAACATGGTTGCAGTGAACATTAGTACAACACCAGGGTTAAAGTATTACTCTGAATGACAAAAACACCTATTGAATCATAGGCCGTGACGCAAGTCGAGATTCAGGAATAAAGTGTCATCTATCTGTGCCTCTGTAGTAGTAACCAATGAAGAATCACATCTTTGTTATAATGGTAATATGTGTAAATCATTAGTCATTAGATGTTGGTTGTTAATCAATCATTATTCCCATTATTCACAAATTACTATTACAATTGGGATTAAAAAGGTGTGACACCCCCTGTTCTAAACCCTCAACAAGAGTAAGGAAAAACTACCCCAAAAAAAAAACAAATCACAGGGAGAAAAAAACACAGAAACCGCAGAGAGAGCCATATGTGAGGGATCCCTCTCCCAGGACGTACAGAAGTGCAATACATGCCACGTGTAACTGAACAGATCAACACAATTAGAATATTTACAACATTGATAAGAAGAAACTGTTACTAGCATAATGGAAAAGTGTGTCAATGTTTCAAATATTTATTCATAAGATAATGTCTGTTAGAGATGAAGGGAGCAGCAATGACAATTTAAATCGGGGAGATATTGCCAGTAATCTTAATTGTATATCAAGCTGTCTTGTTGTAAATCAAGCAGTCTTGTTGTAAAGTAGTAGTAGTAACTGTTGAGAAAAAGTCAACGGTTTTTTATTATCATAATTTTGTAATTGTCATTGTCATTTTCCATGGATTAGCAGTAGTGGATAATTGTTGTGTGCGTTGGTGCACAAAAAACACACATACAAACACCTATATGCACACTTAACCATGGAAACCAAACTTTGTGTTCATATATAATCTGCATCTGGACAGTGAAATGAAGAATGAAGAAGTTTTCTTGGGATCAATCTGTCTGTGCCCTCCTCTCTGATCTGTGTCCCGTTCGTTAAAGGAATATAATAATTATATTAATTATTATAATAATAGCAATAACTCCTCAATTTTTTTAGTTTTCATAATGTTACAAACTGTTTCTTCCAATAAATGTTGTAAATACTATTATTTTGCTGAGGTTCTCAGTTACACGTGGCATCTATTGCACTTCTGGCCATCCAGGGAGAAGTGTCCCTCATATGTGGCTCTCTTGGAGGTTTCTACTTTTTTTACTATGTTCAAAGGATTTTTTGGTAGTTTTTCGTTTCTTGGCAGAGGATGTTGCACCTTGTTAAGCCCAATGAGAGAAATTGTGATTTGTGAATACAATATACAAATAAACTTTGATATTCAAGCAAGCATCCCAGACATGATCTATATCTTAGTCACATGATGAGATGGTCATCCTTAGTTTCTGACCCTGCTAGACTTTCATCCCAGGCTGTCCATATTTGAAAGTTGAACGAGCTGCAGCCAAATATATTTGTTTTATGTTGGCGACAGCACAAAATTGCACAGTTTTACCAACCATTTGGTCGCAAACATCCCTCAGACATGCTGACAGATTTGTGTGAATTAGAATCAGAATCACTCTTATTGCCAGGTATGTGAACACACACAAGGAATTTGACTTCGGTTTTTCTTTGCTCTCTTAATACAAACAGTTGAAAAAAACAAACAAACAGAGATAAACAAGAACAAAGACAAAAACAAAAGCTATGTACATGTACAAAAAAGCTAAATAGTTGTTGCAAAGGTGCATAGTGCATGGATGAAATAATAAATATACATATACATTGTGCACAGTATATTGTATGTACAGATATTTTACAGGTGATTTCTGATATTTGAGTCCGGTTTAGCTGTTCGACACAGATCACTGAAGACAGTGGCAGGAGTATTGTGACTCTTCCTGCTTTACATGTCTTCTAGGAGGAGGATGAGGAGTCTGCCACTTCCCACTGGACATGACTAGATAAAAAAGGCATCCAAGGGTGTCCAATTTCAGCCAACAGGCATCCACTGTCTACATTGGATTTGCAGAAACAGAGAAGACAAATTTCAATCAGCTTAGAAAAAGAAATGGTTGCTAAAGTAACCGTCAACTTCTTCACCAAATGGCTTTTACTGCCCCTTAGAAAAGTTCCCCACAAACCAATGTCGACAGTTCTTCCTGAATATTTTAGATCACAAGACAGATTACACAATAATGTGGTATTTTTGTTTGTGTGCATCTCTTGACGTTAGGTTAAGTTTGTCATCTGAGAATATTAGTGTGTGTGAGAGTAGTTGTTTTGCAGATTACATTTTACTCTTACTCAGTTGCATTTATGATGAAAGAAGATTACTTCTACTCTGTTACACTGGGTCACACACTTCTCGCTACTTTTCTGTCTATGACTTATTCATTTTTACACTCGCGCAACAATTTCCTTACAGTTTCGCAACAATTTCCCTACAGTAACGCCCAGGCCACACTGGCTTCTCTGCGGATCTGCTGCGTGTCGCGTTTGTCTGTTGTTCTCACAGGCTGTGGATCTGCTGCGGGTCCACAGCACAGGGTTTTAGGTGTGATCACTGTATTCCTTTGAATAAAAGTACAGCTATATACACAACTACTTTCCAGGAAACTACACTATGAAACTGCATCTTCCAATCCTGTGATAACAATAAAAATCTTGTTACAACAAAACCAGAAAAACAGCAGAAATGCTGGAGTGCTTTTACTTTGAAAGTGGTAGAGCAAGTGTTGCAAATATTGATGTTTGTGACATATTCAACA